AATGGCGTTCCAAAATTGCTGGAATCCTTAGGAAATAAGCGGATTAGACGGGATTTGACTTGCTCCCTTGTACGACTAGGCCTAGATTTTGATCTGGAACAGGTCAGTTTTTGATGGACAAAATGATGGCATCGAGAAAATTCGTCGTCGAAGGGTCAGCCAGCCATTACTTTTTCCTTTGGCAAAGATCCCAATTAAGAGTTTTCTTGCGCAAACGGTCTTCAGAGGTTTTTCAGAAGTTATTTTGGTATGACTCCACAATTATGAAGCTTATTTTGTTCAGATGAGTGGTATCTTCAAAATTGAACCGGATTTGGGAGAGATTTCGGTTGGTCCACATATGGATCGAATTGGAGACGGTAATCATACGTTTGAAGTATCTGCCACGAATGGAACACGTACGGTAGGTGAAGCTGGAGCTTTCGACATCTTTTCTATCGATAATCTTGAACATCCTCCTTAATTGCGAACACATTTACGTGCTCGTCTCAATTGAGTGTCTCGAGGCTACTCGAGCAGTAAGCGCTGTCGATCTGGTACCTTGGCAACGCTAACGCCGACGATTGCTGCTGAGTAATTGCCGACTCGTTGCCGCCGTTGGCCCGTCGTTTCATAAAAATCACCTGCCCCCACTACGATTCTGCGGACATTATGCTTCCATGAGGTCAATCCAATCCTCGATTACTATCCGCTAGTGATTTGACACATTTCTTAAGCTCTTCGAAGAACAATAACCCCACAAACAATCGTACACTTGACGGATCTAAAAAGTAATGAAATGGCACCTCATTGACGGCAAAACATTAGTACCCCACATTTAAATTCACTATCCTGGAGGGAATGTGTCATCGGGCCAGTGCCCCATTTCAACTCACGTAATCCGTCGTCTGACCTAACTCTCACTGTCATCTCACCGTCTTGCCTCGGCGGATTTCAGATCTCCCACCACCACCACCCGTATTTCGTCGATTAGCTCCTCAATTTGGGCCGGCGAAACCCCACAAAAGGGGCGTACCCACAGCCTTAGCCCGACAACCGTGTGCGGACCCTCACAACTGCGACGGCCAACAGGTGGTACTGACGCCGTTCATGTCTTGAATCATATTCGGTAATCTGATGAGTTGAGCGTCCATGTTTCACTTATGCGAGTTGCTTCTTTTGGTGAGATTTTACTTTAATTCTTTGCTTTGAAAATCATATATTCTAATTGGCAGTAATTTGTAATTTTATTGTAACTTTTACTAAGCCTAGAACTCGACCATTAAAACTATTCAAGAGAATGAATTTTTGAAATTATAAATAAGTTGATGCTGAACGGCTAATGGAAATCACCTGTTGTCTCTATAATTTGCAAATTTCTAAAAAAAGAACAGCGTCAACTGGCTTACGCTTGACGTAATTACTTTGCAAAAACAAAAAAAACGCCTTTTCAAATTTAATATGCCTGTTACTACAATGCTGTAAGTTATTTACAACAAAAGGATAGATTAGAGTAAAATTTCTAAGGATAACTTAGCGGTTTTCTTTGTTTTGGGTGTTTTTGAGTCAAGGTTTTGGGTTTCTTTTTTTTAATTTTCTAGAAAAAATCATTTCTGAAAAAAAGCTAAAATATGAGTTTCTCTTGTGAAGGCCGGAAAAAAAATTCTAAATATGCAGTAATGCTTACTGGGACGGTTTGTCTTCACCTATAACCGCTTCTCGAACAGATTACCGTATCATCCTAATCTTTGCCCCCCCCCCCCAACCGCTCCCCGAACAAATTTTCCCATTTACCCTAGTGGGTGATTTCTTCTATAGTGCAATTCAGTTTAGTCAGATTTTGGCAGCCAATTTTCATTTGGCTTGTTCCGAAAAGGATCGGTACCGCTCCTTTTTTAAAGTCATATCCTCCTCTATAGTGTCAGATGCTTTTGCCACTTATCCGGTCATACTCCTTCTCTGAGACACGTTATTCCTTACAAAAACCAATATATTAACACATTTTGATATTTTCCTGGCAAAAAAACTTTTCTGGGTGTTTCTAGTGATTGAAAGGGTTCTATGACAAGGTAAGGTGAGTTGAACATCTTTCCCCATTCAGAAAGTCGAGCCATTTTACCGTATCCGGGATGTATATAACGGTGCGCTAACCTGGTGGGGACCCATGATTATAGACATTTCATTTTAGAACTACGAAATAACCTTTCGCTATGCATTAGCTCGAAGGGCTCTGTTGGTTAGAAAAAAGACCTTTTATCATAAGTTTGGCTTGAAAATTCAAACTCAGTAGTTCATGGGAACCATAGAAAAGAAATTTGGGACAGCTGTAGCAGCTTTGTATAAGTTGTCCCATCGGATTTCCCCCAAGTAGTCATGAGTGACTATCTGCGGTTTCTACGAGGGCACCCAACCTGTCGTTGCTATAATAGGCTCCGCTACAGAAGAACTNCGGCACTTGAGTGGCATGGGACCAGTCTTCTCACGAAAGTCCCCAAGGACTGATAAAATCTCGTGCATTGTTTCATTTCATGAAGTAGAATGGCCACAAGTGTTGCTTAAAGTTCTCCTCTTCTGTAAAAATCATCAATAGCGCTAGGGCTTGAAAAGAAAGGCAGCGTATAATTTGTAGGCAGTTTCAGTTCAACGCAACCCCGTTTGCACTGCACTCTGATCCGATTTCTTGTGTACAACGTTCTTAAAAATGGGGCTAATGGCTGGTACCAATTTGTCGCCGTAGAATACAAATAGTATAAAAACGATCGTTGGCAATTAAACTATTTCTATCACTTGAAACTATCATTACTATATTTCCAAACTGAATAGAACATTGTAAAACATTGTAGAGTGAAATGAACATTGTAATGAACATTTCCCTTTCCTCCCTATTCTTTCGCTAGACAATCCCAATGCCTATGATCCGAAATCCATTCAAAACTGTGGTGCCGTTTGAATACGTTTATATTCGGCCCATTCAATGAACTGCGGGCCCTGGCGATCTACGTATAAGTCAAAGCTTGCAAATCATAGGGATATGAAAGACTTGGTTGGTTCGGTTGGGAATCAGTGCGAGTTTGATCTCTGGACTTGAAGAAATTTTTTCTGTTCAGTTCATGGATTGACAGAAGCCAAAACCAAATCTTAGGGTCTTTAGGCAAACAAAAGCAAAATAACTTTTTTGTAAAACCACAATAAAAAGTGGTTTGGATTGTTACAAAGGGTTGAAAAGGATAAACAAAAAGCCT